CATCTACAGACTCTTTGTTTAAAAGCATTGCCTAGTTTTAGGCTTTTTTATAAAAATTTATTGAATTATTAAGCTGTTTAGAGAAAACGTAGCATAAAATCTATAATTTTCAAGGGATTTTGAAAAATTAAAACTTGTTGTAATTGCAAAAGAAAGGAAATTAGGATTTTTTTAAAAATATATAAGGTTTTATACAAACATTTTTAAAAATTGAACAGCAAAGTTGCACAAAATTAATACTCAAATAATGTTATGAATTTTTAACAATTTGGTTTTAAAATTTGTTAATTCGATTCAAATTTCTTAAAAATTTATAAAGTTTATTGAAGTTTGTTTAAGCTTAAAACATATTTTGCAAATTTAAGCTTAAAGTAAGTTAGCTTAGCCTACTTTTAGGCTTTTATATTAAAATTGTTTAGATTTTTAAGGTGTTTAGAGAAAAATTTTTAAAAAATTTCTAATTTTCAAAAAAATTTAAAATTGAAACTCAGGTTGAATACACCATAAAAATGTCTTGCAAAATTTATAGAAAAATCTTTAAGGTTTTAAAGAAAATTTTGTTAAAACTTAACAGCAAAGTTTATAAAAAGTAATTTGAAAGTTTAGTTGTATTTTTTAAGTTGTTTTTGTTTAAAATTATTGTTGTTGTTTTTAATATACCAAAAGCTTATTTTGTTAGCTGTACAATGAGCTATTAAACATTAAAATCGCTTGAGAACTACTCAAGTTATGGCAGTTTTTCTAAAACATGCTCTATTTTTCAGGGTTATGCTTAACTATATAAAGCTTAGCATACTTTTAGGCTTTTGTTAGAAACTGTTTCTTTAATTGTTAAAAAACATTTTAAATTTACTTTTAATTGTTTGTTTCTTAATCTGTTGTTGCTATTTAACCCTTGTCAAACTTCTTTACTCGATTTTAAAAGCTTTTTCCCACCAAAAAGCTCAATTAAAAATCACTTAAATTACTTAATAATGCTTTTAACAAACACTTAATGCGTCACAACAAACTGTATGAAACCTGCATAAATGTTTTAGTACTTATCAAGGTAAATCCCTATAAATATTTACACAAGATTATTAGCTCATCTTATACAAGGATATTTGCCAATTGAGAGCGAAAAGAAGGGGGTGAAAAGAGAAAGGAAAACTTTTTATTTACTGTATACTTAACAAGCATATTTTATGCATTAAACTTGTTAAAGAAAAACTTTTAGAGAAGCTTATTAAAAAGTTTATTTTGCAATTTTTACTTAGTTAAGGTAGTTTTACAAAAAAAGCTTCACTTTTTGGTTTAATAAAGAAAGCCGGAGAAAGGTATATTGAAGCCATTTTTTTGGTTACAAATATTTGACCTAAATATGGTTTATAACATATAAAAACTAATAGTTTTAGTGTTTACACTAAACTACTATTACTGGCTAGAGGAAAATGTAATAAAAATATTCAAAATTCAGGTCAATTTCCTGCTTTCTAAACAAGAGGGTGGCTGGTGTGGATTTGGAAAAATGTCTTTATTATAACTTAAAGACATTGGCTGTATACATTTGAAAACCTTTTAAATGACCTTCTTTTAATGGTTTGTAAATTGTGCATAGAAACTAAACTTAAAGCTTTTTTTGTTGTGGACTTGTTATGGCCTAAAAGGAATGAATGAATGTCTTTAATAACTTTTGTTAAGACTCTACTAAATACCCTTCTCTATACTATATGTTATTTTAAGTTGTTGGCTGGTTTTCATTTTATGGCTAAAATGTCACGTTTTTGTTACAATTTAACTTGTTGTTGTTGTTGTTGGCTGTTTGTTGTTTCGATTTTTTTCTTTGGCACACGTTTTTGTTATGGAAAATTTTTTATATTTATTGCATAAGATGGAATGTCATTGTTTAAGAGATATGACATGAATAATATGGCAGTAAAATTTTAGACAATTTAGAAATAATACACAAAACAAAAGGACCATATGAAATTATTTATAAAAGGAAAGGGAAATAAGAATGTCTGTAATAACTTAAAAGTATAATATTATGTTTTAAAAAAGGTTTAAAATCATATTAAATAAAAAAGAAATATTTAAAAAATTTGTAATTTTCTTTAAGAATTTTTTTTATATTTTGTTTAAAAAGTTAAAACATTTTTACCTAAATTCAAAGCTCTTTAAGTTTTCTTTACAAAAAGTTAAAATTTTCCCAAATCGGTTAAAAATTGCTCAATTTATGGCCGTTTAAGTAAAGCCTTTCATATATTTTTCTTACTTCAGCTTAATTTAACATTCCATAGCATACTTTAAGGCTTGCACACAAAAATTGATTAGTTTCTAACAAAAAAAGTTAACTAAAGTAAACTAAAACTTGTCTAGCATTTAATTTTCTTATATTTTGTTAAATACTTAAGCTTAAATCGAAATTTTTTTAGCATACTTTAAGGCTGTTATATATAAAATTTGTTTGGAAAATGCGAAAAAAGGGTTTTAGAAAATAGTCCCTATAAGCTACAATTCTCAAGCGTTTGTAAAAAATGAAACCATGTTTGAGGCTTAACAAAAAAAAAAAGCTTTCAAAACAGATTTATAAATATATAAGGTTTCATATAAAATTTTTGAAAAATAAAAAAAGTAAAAAAAAAAATTTTTAAGATTTTTTTTAATTTTTTTATTCTTTCCCTAAAATCTACAATTCTCAAGCGATTTTTAAAAATGAACCCATGTTTGAAGCTTAACAAAAAAACCTTTCACAACAGATTTACAAATTTATAAGGTTCAGTATAAAACTTTTGAACAAATTCCTCACAAAGTTAAGAAATTAAAAAACTGAAATGTTTTTTTAAGATTTTTTTTTTAATTTTTTTATTTTTTCAAAATTTTTGTTAAAATTTAAGAATTTTTTTTAATCAAATTTTAAAGTGTCTTCTGTGGGTTTTACAAAAAGCTAAGATTTATGAAAATCGTGTGAAAATTACTAAAGTTATGAGAGTTTTAGCAATGAATAAAGGACAAAATTAAATTTAAAAATTTCAAAATTTGTGGGCAAAATTTTTAAATTTTTTACTTTAAAATTTGAAAATATTGTAGCAAATTTTTAAAGTTTATTCTGTTGGGTTTACAATAAGCTAAGATTTATGAAAATCGAGTAAAAATTGTATAAGTTATGAGAGTTTTAACAAAAGCTTAAGTAATACTTGGCATATTTTGATTTAACACTGAAATTTCTAAGCATATTTTAAGGCTTAGGGGGAAAAATTGTAACCAAAATCTAACAGTTTATCAAAGTTTATTCAGCTGGGAATAAAATAAGACAAAAAATATTAAAATCGTGTGAAAACGGGTAAAGTTATGAGAGTTTTAACAAAAGCTTAAGCAATACTTGGCATATTTTGATTTAACACTGAATCTCTAAGCATAACTTCAGGCTTGGGAGGAAAAATTGTAAGGAAAATCTAACAGTTTATTTAAGTTTGTTTAGCTGGGAATAAAATAAGACAAAAATTATGAAAATCTGTTGAAATCTGAAAAGTTATTAGAGTTTTAACAAAAGCTTAAGCAACATTTGGCATATGTTGACTTAACACTGAAATTCTAAGCATAACTTTAGGCTTGGGAGGAAAAATTGTAAGGAAGATCTAACAGTTTATTAAAAATTATTGGAATCGTGTGAAAATTGTAAAAGTTTTAACAAAAGCTTAAGCAGTACTTGCCATGTATTGACTTAACACTGAAATTATAAGCATAACTTTAGGCTTAAGGGGGAAAAATTGTATGGAAATTTTAAAACATTATAGCAAAACTATTGTTGTAAACTTCTTAATACCTAAAAAACTAAAACTAAAATGTTTGACATGTTTGTTTATAAAGTCTTATGCCATTAATCTGCATAAATCAAACGCTAATTACTTGATGTTATTAAGTAATTAATAAAAAATTATTTAAAATTTATTTTCATAATTTATCAGATTATATAAAACACATAATAAACAATTCGTTATGATTTGGAAAAGAGACAATAACATACAAAATATGCAAATTACAATTGTATTTTAAACTACAATAGGAAAAAATTGCATATAGTTAGGCTTAAAAGCAATTAACATATGAAAACACTTTAAAAGAGAAAGGTATAATTGAACAGAAACCCCAACCAGGAAATAGGGGTTGTTATAAAAACACCAACAATTTACTTATATCGATAAAATATGTATTAAATATTTATTAAACATATATGGAAAACAATAATGTTAGGCGGTAAACTATAACAACCCCTAAAGTAGGCTTTTTATATAAAACTAAACATTAAAAGCCTTAAAGTATGCTAAATTTATGAAGAAATAAAAACAAACAAACAAATGTTTATTGTTTAAACATTAACAAGAAAAAAGCTAACTTTTGATATGACCCTCTACCTGTTAAGAGCTAAAGAAAGAGAGGGAGAGAGAAGAGGGTCATTCAACTAATGTCTTGGGTGAAAAAACAAAGTTTTCAAAAAGGCATGAGGTAAAACACTAGGGACTACAAAACCACTTGAAGCTTAAGAGAAAAAAACAGTTTATTTTAATGGTTTACAATAAATTATATAAAATACTTTTAGGTAACTGAACAAAAAGCATGGCATGCTTTTAGGCAAAACCTGACTAAAAACAATTAAGTCTTAACTAGAAACAAAGCAACCGAAAAAAAACCGTAAAGTAATTTATATATATCACTCTCTAATAACAAAGAAAAAAACTTAATAATATGTTAAAAACTAAAACAAAACATTATAATAATAACTATAATTTGTTATAATTTTTTTTTTGTTTCAAAATGAACAACAAAAAGTCAAAGATTATATGCAATCACATTAAATCAAGGTCTCTGACTAAAAAAAAGCGGGAAATGACGTAAATTGTAAAACTTAAAACAAAATCTATTTCATTTTACGCTTCATTAACTTTTAATAACAATATAAACATGTAATAATTAAACAAAAATATTAAATTTCCCTTTTTTTTTGATTTCTCTTAACTAACCTGCATTTCTGGAGCACCACCCTCATCACGTATTAACAATAAATAACTTTGGCCATCGATGAATACTTCTTTCTTGAAACGTCCTCCTTCGGGTGATTCTTCTTGCATATACGAACCCGTCAGATAACGATGTACTAATGCAGATTTGCCTGAGTTTAGAGAGCCCACTATGCCCAAACGTAAATCGGGCACTGAGCGTGATATCGTCCATTCTTGACTATTTACAAAGGAATCTGGAAGAGAAAAGAATAAAAAAGTGAAAATTTAATAAAAATTTTAAAGTTTGAGAAAGCTTTAAATGAAAGCTTTTAATATAAAAATGATTAATTGAAATTGTTTTAATACCATAAAAATTTATTATCTAAAAGCTTTTATACAGTGAAAAAGTTTAAAAAAATCAAGGTTGAGAAAGTATTAACTGAAAGCTTTCAATATAAAGATGTTTCATTTATATGTTCTTTTTCATTGTATGAAAAGCTTTAAACAAAAGCTTTGCATATAAAAATGATTATTTGTCAAGATTTTAATATAAGGAGTTTTATGCTATAAAAGCTTTTATGTAAAGAAGACATCTCAACAATAATAAGTATATAAAAAAGCTTTAAACAAAAGCTTTCTATATACAGATGATTAACTAACTATATACAGATGACTAATTGTAATAATTTTAGAATAAAAAAGTTTTATTTAAAAAATTTTATATTAAGAAAGAATTTTAGAATTTGAATTTTGAGAAAGCTTTAAACAAAAGCTTTTAATATAAAGATAATAAATTCAAATGATTTATGTGTAGATAGAACTAAATAAAATTTAAGTTTAAGAAAACTCTTTTAACGAGAGATTTTAGTTTAAGAAAGAATAAGATTAAAAAGGCTTTAAGTATAAGAAAGCTTTTACCTCAGTTTTAGCAACTTTTAACCCAAAAATTTTAATCAAACAACCCTCTCATCAAAAGCTCTAAGAATAACTATAACAAAAAGCTTTTAGTTTAACAGAACTTTTACTGAAATCTGTTAGTTAAGCAGAGCTTTTACTAAAATATTTTAGTTTAAGAAAGTTTCAGTTTAAAAACACTTTAGTTACTATTAATCAAAAATGTTTAGCTAAACAAATCTCTAATCAAAAGCTTTCAGATAAAGGAAGCTTTGTTAAAAAGCTTTATGAATCTAAAAGTTTTTAAATTCAAAATTTTTTAAATTTTTAATAAATTTATTGGCAAAATCTTTTAGTTGAGTAAAGCTTTCATAAAAAGCTTTTATTTTAAGAAACATTTAGTTTAATAAAACTTTCACCAAAATTTCGCAATTTCAGCAATATTTTACTAAAAACTATTAGTTTAAGAATGCTTTCATCAAAAGCTTTAAGTTTTAGAAAACTTTTACCAAAAGGCTTAAAGTTTAGAAAAAGACATGAAAAGCATTTAGTTTAAGAAAATTTTCAATAAATGCTTTGATTTTCAGTCATAAATATAAGAAATCTATCACCAAAAGCTTTATGTTTAAGAAAGCTTTCATTAAAAGCTTTAAATTTAAGAACGCTTCCATCAAAAACTTTAATTTTAAGCCATAAATTTAAGAATTTTATCACTAAAAGCTTTATGTTTAAGAAAGCTTATACCAAAAACTTTAAGTTTAACAAAGCTTATACCAAAAGCTTTAAGTTTAAGAAAGCTTATACCAAAAGCTTTAAGTTTAAGAAAGCTTATACCAAAAACTTTCAAGTTTAAGAAAGTATTCACATAAAATATGTTAATTTGAAACAGTTTTAATCAAGAGCTTTTACCTAAAAAACTAACATTAAGAAAACGTTTTAAAAAAGCTTTAAATTTATCTAATTTTACAATTTTTTAAAACAATTAAAAAACATTGTCATATTTATGTTCGTCCCTCTATTTTTTGTTCTCCTTCCACTTTTTGTTGTGTATGTCTTGTCTTTTTCCCTCTTGTGTTTGTATTATTATTATTTGACAAGACAGCTACTATGAACTGTCAACTGTCAAAAACATATTGCCAGTATAACATTACAGCACAGACCAGCACATTGCAACAACAAACAAAAAAAGCTTACACATGTTATATAAGCTTTAACAATTGAATGGTAGAAAAAACCCCGAACAAAACAAACAGCATTTGTCTGAAAGACAACAACTACAAAGAAACACACATGAAAAAGCACTGGGTGGCCATCAAGATTTTTGTCTGTTAACAAACTGGCATAACAGCCGCCTCAGCCAAAAAAAGGGGGAAGCAAAAAACAACACAAAAACTATATTTAAGATTTAGTATTTTAAAGCACTTGAGCCAGAAAAAAACGTAAATAATATATAAAAATGAAGGTTGCTGCATTATTGCAATTGTCCAAAAAAAAGTAGCTAAATTTCTATACAAAATAAACTGGTTGCCAGAGACATTTAAACATAAGATGTCCTTTTTTAACTTCCTTAGGAAAAAAAGGAATTGAATACGTAATTAGCTGTGACAATAAAAAATAGTTGGTATTTCCTAAACAAAACCTTATGTATGTATGTATATACCTTAAAGGCAAATTGCCAAAGCTAACCCAACAAACTTTACTATATAAGCAGAAGGTTGATTTTTGTAACCAGTTTTTTTTGGGGGGTTTTACTCTTATATAACAATTATACCTACAAGGAATGTTTATGGTCAGCCAAGTAAGTATGAATTTCAGAATTTCAGTTTTTTTTCAATTTGATTGACAGTTGAAGAAGTTATTGTCATGTTAATTTTTTGTATATAATGGATGTACACTCGTTTATAACAGGGAGGTTATAGCTAGTTGGTTAATGAGTATTTAATCTTTTTTCCATTTGTATATGAGCTGCTTGGTTGCCACAAATATGCTTGAACACTTGGTTGATGTTGATTTGAAGGAACATATGATAAAGGAAAGGATTGAGCTAACAACATGGAATTTTATAGTTTAAGTTGAATTTAAGCAAAAAGCTTTGAGTTTGGAAAAGCTTTTCGCAAGAGTTTTAAGCTTAAGAAAGCTTTAATTAAGAACTGTTTGGTTGAACATAGTTTGGTGTTTGAGAAAGCTTTTAGTTTATGATGAAACTATTACTTTAAGAAAACTTTAATAAAAAGCTTACACTTTAAGAAAGCTTTAACAAAAAACTATTAGTTTTCAGAAAGTTTAAGAAACCTTTCAAGTTTAACAAACATTTTAGTATAAAAAAGCTTTAATCAACAGCTACATATCTATTGTAGAAAATATAGTGTTTGAGAAAGCTTTTAGTTTAAGAAAATTTAATTTTAATTTTAACAAAATTTTAGGAAAACTTTCAAGTTTAAGAAACTTTAAGTATACCACAGCTGTTTGTTGTACAAAGTATTGTCTCCGAAAGCTCTTAGTTTGAGCAAAAACTGTTCGTTTTAGAAAACTTTAATAAAAAGCTTTCACTTTGATATACATAGCTATAGCTAAAGTCTATTAGTTTTAAGAAAATTAAAGAAAGCTTTCATGTTTAAGAAACATTCTTGTATAAGAAGGCTTTAGTTTAAAGAAAACTTTATTGAAAAGCTTCTACTTTCAGGAAGCTGTAACAAAAGATTCTTATTTTAGGAAAGCTTATGAAAACTTTAAATATGTTTAAGAAAGCTTTTGCTTTCAATGTTTTAGTTTAAAGTTTGTTAACATTTAATGAAAAGCTTTTACTTTGAGGAAGCTATAACAAAAGATTCTTATTTTACGAAAGATTAAGAAAGCTTTGAATATAAGAAAGCTTTTGGTTGACTAATGTTTTAGTTTAACATTTTAAGAAATCTTTGTTCAGAAGTTTTTGCTATAATCAAAAGCTTTTAGTTAAAGAGAGTTTGAGAAAGTTTTTATTAAAAAGCTTTTAGTTTATGAAAGCTATATTAAAAACTCTTGGTTTAATAAGGATCTAATCAAAAGTTTTTATGTATTATATATAGTTTAAAGTTTTAATATTTGTGTACTTTAAAGGAGATTTGAATAAAAGCTTTCGATTTAGGAAAGCTTCAACTGTAAGACTTTTAGCTTAAGACAGTTAACGACAGATCTAACTAAGAGCTTTTTGAGTATAAGAAAGTTGTAAGCTTTTGATTGAAAAAAGCTTACACTAAAAGCTTTTGATTAAAGAAAGCTTTCACAAAAAGCTTTTGATTGAAGAAAGCTTACACTAAAAGCGTTTGATTAAAGAAAGCTTTCACTAAAAGCTTTTGATAGAAGAAAGCTTTTACAAAAAGCTTTTGATTGAAGAAAGCTTTTACAAAAAGCTTTTGATTAAAGAAAGCTTTAACATAAAAACTTTCAATTTGAAAACGTTTAAGAATGTTTTCAATTTAACAAAGTTTAAGCTTACAAGTTAACAAAGTTTCAAACAAAAAGCTTTACTTTAAACTAAGTTTAAAACACAGTTTATAAAGTAAACATTTTCTCAACAAATAAAAACATAATTTTATTATTTTTAAAACTAATATTTCTTTTTATGAATCATTTACTTTAAATCCTCCCACCTTTTAAGCTTATTTGTAAAGTATCAATTTATAAGCGTGTGTCTAGTTTAAATTACCTTTTAAGGTATTTTATTTAAAAGCCAGTATTCATTATTTATATTCTTCTTTATAATTTTCAGTTCAATGCCATTTTATGTTGTAAATCATTTTTAATTGTATTAAGAATAGCTGAATAGTTTTTTTTGGGCTGCAATTGTTAAATACATTGTTGTTTAACTTTTAAGTTTATGTGGGTTAAACTAGTTGTTAAGTCTCTTTTTAAAAACTTAATCTTTTTTTCGGGTTTTAGAATAAAACAATTTTAATGAATTTTTTTTTTCATGTTTAATGAAACAAAAAAAGGTATGTGTTAATTAAATTAGTTTTATAATGATTACTGTAGATGTTAAGTATAAATAAAATCACAAAAAGCTTTCAAAAGTTTTGTTTGAAATAAGAAATTTTTGCAGGAAACCAGAGTTTTGACATAAATTCTTGAAATTATACACGATTTGTTATTAAAATGTATAAAAGCTTTTGTTTGTTAACAGTATATATTGAATTTTTAGTTAGTTTGTAAAGAAAGCTTAAAGCTTAAGAAAGCTTTTGAGCTTTATTAGCCTATTAAAGCTTAAATTTAATATTTTTTCTAATTTTCAATTAAAGAATTTTTTTTGGAAAAGTTTGTAAAGAAAGCTTAAAGCTTAAGAAAGCTTTTAAGCTTTATTAGCTTATTAAAGCTTAAATTTAAT